CGCACGCACGCACGCACGCACGCACGCACGCACGCACGCACGCACGCACGCACGCACGCACGCACGCACGCACGCACGCACGCACGCACGCACGCACGCACATACACGCACGCACACTCCGCTCGAAAAACAAATATCAAATCACGTGTAGCGAAAAATTTTTCATCTCGATCTCCACATACAGCATATATCATAGAGCTATATTTATTAACTAGAGCTACTAGTATTGAAGATTGAGGATTATATATTGAGAAATCGGTCAATTAGATAATTTTAATTTTAATTTTTGTTTCATTCTAATTGATCGAGTTCTAAACTGAGAAAAAAGTTTAGTATTTGTAAAACACTTTTAATATTATATTAATATTATAATATATATCTCGGTAGTCGAATAGGACGCCCATCCGACAAATAAAGAGACCCAGATTCGAATTCTGCATGATTGACGTAATATTTTTCCCGATTTTTCGTAATCAATTTTTAGCAGATTTTGGGAGAAGGGGATTCTTATAGATACTTATTAACATCAAAAACAATAAATTGCTCGTTAATTTAATTCTTTACAGTAGATTCCGGTTTCATGTAAGAACTGTGTTTTAAGACCGATAAAAAATGCAACGCGCAGTTTGTGTGGGGCTAGATGTAACAATTATTATACACACCAACATCCGTGTCGGTTCGCATTAAGCTTCGTTATGTATTTCTAAAATAATTATAATCATTGCATTAATTATAGTCATTCATTTTTATAGTTATTATTGCTGTAATGTTAGTAATAATAACTGTATTTATAGTTCTATTAAACAAATATATACATAGGTGGCACTAAAAATAAATGTACAATTATAATTAAATTATTACATAATAATGATAATTTTTTTCTCTCAGTGTAATCAATATAAGCTTCAATTCTCATTCTTCAACGTATAATGTGATGTGTTAATACGTTTAAAACTTCAAGTTTCGGTTACCGATTAATCGCAAGCTACTGACATTATATATTTTTATCACAACGTTAAAGTAAAGTTAAATTGTTTTTATAAAAAAGAAAAAAATAACTGATTCGGAGTTGATTTAGTAAACTTCTTCACAGCTTCTCCATTCGCTATTTCTACGCTTATGCATGTATAAGTTAGGAAACTCCAATTATTAGGTGTCAAGAGTAACCCCTTGAACGTTGACTTCAAGTCGATTATTACGGTGTGTTATTGTTGCAATGAACTTTTACCTTGCCGCATAAGTAGAGCTCGGGCAAAGGCTCCAGATTGTTGTGCCCATGCGGACTGGGGGTAGGCGGCGAGCCCTGAAGGGGAGGTAACCATTGCCCACCCAAATAGAGCTGACTCGGCCGCTTTAGCCTTTTTTCTTGCCTCCTACGCTCGTGGCGGACGGCCACCGCTGGCATAGCACCAATCATCCTGATCGAACAGAAAGCCAACACTTATATGTATACCATTCGTCGAGGGCAGGAGAGAGGGGGTGTCATGGCAATCATATTATCAAATTCCGTAAACACGACTTACCGAAATTAATGGACAGAACGTGTATCTATTAACAAAGTAATGTTTTAATTGTCGAATTTAATATATTGGTTTTTCGATATCACTAATAGAAGTAACAGATATTGCAAAGCATTGCAGGCGAATACATTTATATTCATATCGTACATTATTATTTATGATCTCTTTCTCACGTAAACGGAATACACAGCAATTGGAAAAAAAAGATATTTGCGCACTTCGTCCTTTCGAGATAATTTCACGTGAGATAGAAACACGTCGTTGTGATATTCAATAAGTGCCAGTAATACAAATAAAACGTCAGATAAGAACACTTTGAAATATCTTCCTGCTTCGTAAAAAAAAAATTATTCTAACGAGACAGGGACTTGTTGGAGACAACAGGGTTTTGTTGAAGTATATATAATACATATAAATTTAGCTAGATATACATTGCTGGCCATTAAGATTGCAACAATGGAAAAAACGCGTTGAACTCAAATTTATAAAATTAATACGCTATGATAAAATATGAAAATGAACTACTGCACTTCTCTAATAAAAATAACTACGCCGTACTTCTTATAATTCCCTGTACACCTTATGTATCCATAGACGTACGCAGGAGTAGGGGGGCACTTATCCTTTTCTTACATTTCGGCAAGAAAAAACAATTAGATTATGAAAAACATTTTTTTTACGAAAAGAAAAAAGCTAGAAGAAGTCTTTAAAAAATTTGCTAAAGATCTTCGAAAACTAGCTTTAATTTAACTTTAATATAATTTTAATTTTGCTTGAAAATAAATTTTTGTCTCTCCTCCCTTCTCTGAGTAAAATTTTAAATACGTTCTATACGTCAATAATTATCTATAAATATTACTTTAATATCTTATGTCTTTCTTGGTGTTGCATCTTTATAGCCAGCAGTGTACATCTGAAAATAATTTTGTTGAATCAATTAAAATAATTATGTGGAATGCTCAAGCTGGTTGTTAGACCAAATGTATCGCAATGTCAAAAATATTTTTAGACATTGCTCATCATTATTTGAGCTATATATCTTACGTAATTATTTTGATGGTTCGACATAATTATTTTCAGACTTGCTAACTTAGATACTTCAACAAAATTCTTTCCGTGCAGCAAATAGTTCGCTATTTTCATTCGATATCGAAACGTCGTTAAATAGCGTTTAGGAAATAAATTTACGTTTTATTCCTTTGCAAAACTGCGACGTGAAAAATAATCAAGTCAATGTTCTTATTTTCTCTCTCTCTCTCTCTCTCTCTCTCTCTCTCTCTCTCTCTCTCTCTCCCCTAATAATATTTATTAATTTCATTGTTGTTTAGTGCTATTTGGAGACCACGTTTTGCGGGAATTATCAAAACATCTCCGAATCTTGCTGGCGGCATTACTTTTAACTCATCAATGATGAACATTTCAATAATCTAAAAAGAAACGGGCGTTACACAAGAGCAAACGTTTTTTGGCGGAGTTCTGCGGTACGGACTGACACCGGTTACTTTTGCGCCAAACGCGCTATGAACTTTGGTGACCCCGGTTGACCTCGGGCCGGTCGATACGTCATTGCATCCGCCCTCCAGCCCGCAGTCGATACAGCGAAGTTCCAGAAGGCCGTTTCGGGTAGAAAAGGCGAAAAAAAAATCGGATACGAAGTCTCGACGACTTCTGTTCGTCGAGATTTATCTCGTTAACGAGACAGTATACTTCAGGACAAGCTCTCTCATCTGGCAAAACTAATCGGCAAGATATTTCGAGATTCTTTCTTTCCTCTCGATTTGAAACATTGACGTGCATGGGATAGCTCAAATGTACAGCCGTCCGGAGTCCAGAGCGAATAAAATCTCATAATGAATGAATAAAGTAAAGCACGCGCGTGAATACGTAATGATACGAATAGAATGGAGGTAGGGAGATTCTGAAAAGCGTAAAAGAACAATCATTCGTTAAAAATGGAGCGTTTCATAATATTTATTCTCAAAAAATTCGTGCATCAAGTTGTATATAAGTGGTACAATAGAGAAATCGCAATAAGAAAAGCTATTAACTTCTAGGTAAAATAACTACGGTAGAGTAAATCGCAAAACAGCAGCGATATAATAATAATTTTATAGTAAGTAGAGTAATTTATATAACAACAGTTCCCTTACATCGATGATCTTCGTGGTCTTGGCATCTTCCTTCGCGAATACGCACCAGTTTCTCACGGGGCGGGACCAAAAGGGATGAAGATAGCGCATCGATTCGGTAACAGGATACGATATAAACGATGGCCGCGATATACCCGTTATTCCGCGTCCCTCCTCCGTATCCCGTCCCCTATAATTCCGATCCCTTTCCGAGCAAATGTATCGCATGCCTATATCGTAGTAAATTTCACGATAAATATAGTAATATCCCTAAATCATCATAAACAGATATCGTTTCTCACTACCGTACACCGTCCGTTTCGCTCGCATGTCAATTATCATCGGGTCAGTTCAACGTTTAACGTTAAAACTCGAATGAATAAAAGCCGAAATATCACTTCGTTCTCCGATCCACCTTCTTCAAACCGTGTTTAAAATTTCGGCAGGAATTCAGAAGTGCGACGGTGCTGGGAAAAGGTTCGTCGAGAACTTCAGTTCGCGAAATTTGTGAGCATTTCGGTTTCGTCTGTGCCATGTGCACCAGCAATATACATACTTTCATCGTCGGAACTTTGCCCACGCTCTCCTCACGAAGCGGGGAAACGACGATCCTTCGTTATCGTTAGCTAATGACTAATGGGCAAGATCATTCGTAGCGGCGCGACACGTGCGTGCGCGAAATGTGTAGGTATCTATCGTCGTTTAAAGACTTCCGTAAAAATCGCTTTACAAAACTGACAATTAACGGTAATTCAATCTTGTGGTAATTAAAATCCATTTTTGTCTACATGCACAGTGTTCCCATCCTTCTCTCTCTCTCTCTCTCTCTCTCTCTCTCTCTCTCTC